CCCCTTAGTCCCAGTGCTTCCTGCTCCAGCTGCCACAGAGGCTCCTCAGGCTAAGTCAGCTGTGTGCTCAGCCCTGCCTCGAGGCTTGGCAAAGTCACATGTAACCTCAGCACCACCAGCTGGAGGGGGAAAGATGCAGCATGTGGCAGAAGCTACCCTGTTGGGACCAGGCCCCTCTTCCCCCAGGGTGAGTTGGGGAGGGCCCGACCCAGCAGCATGAAGGAGGCTTCCAGGTCTGGGCCATTGTAGGATGTAGGGAGACCATCAACTGTTCACCACTGCCCTGCTCAGGCCCTGCACCTCTTTCCCTCCCTCCCCATGGTGGTGGGATGCGGGAATAAGAAAGGTCTGCAGCTGCAGTCCCAGCCCAAGCCCCAGCCCCTGCTTGTAAGGATAAGGGGAAGCCGCCACTCTGCAGTGTCCCTTAGTGACTTGACCATGCCCACCACCCATTGCCCATGGCTCCTCACCAGCAGCTTGGAGCCCATGCAGTGCTGGGTGCACCGTGAAGACATAAGGGGCTGGGCCTGGGGCCGTTCCTACCGGAGGTCACTAAGCTATAAAAGGTAAGCAGGAAATGGTATAAATATATATGTCAGTTAACTGTTTAACCGTTTACATCCCTACCTGTTACATGTTAATATTAGCCAGCTTCTAAAGTTCTTAACCCCTGGATTGGCTGCACATTAACACCTTTATGAGGCTTAAAGCCCCCATTATTGGGCTTAAAGTTACACCACTTCAGGACAGGATTATCTCTAATTCACGTAATCTTGCTCCTGTTCCATTAAGGTGTGGCCAGTCCACACAACTATTCAGCTAAAATGGAAATCTTCCAGTATCCCAGGATGCTCCAGGGCTGCAGTGCTTGCTCTGCCCAGTGGGAGCAGCAAGCCAGTCCAGGCAGCAGCAGGAGGCATGGTGAACACTGGGTGCTCTAGGGCTGTGGAGCTGACTGCCCAGTGGGAGCAGTGAGCTGGTTCAAGCAGTTGCCTCCTAGGCATAACAAGCAGAGCAAGTGCTGCAGCCCTGAAGCATCTGGCAGCCAGGTTGCTTCCCACCACTGCCTGGACTGGTTCACTGCTCCTGCTGGACAGAGCCAGCGGTGCAGCCCTGGACTGTCCGGTGGCTACAGTGCCTCCCATGTGGTCTCCTCTCCACCCCCAGCCAGCAACTCCCCCCTCCCCCCACAGCCACAGGTACCCTAGCCTCTATGAGTGAATTTCTGTCCCAAATTTCATTCAAGAAGACTTTTCATGACTTGGCTTCAGGGCAAGATAATGTCACTCTATACACAAGATGTAAAATTGCCTGGGGTGTGGCTCAGATTTCATCTTCTTTAGGATTTGCTTGGCTTTCCCAGAACTGTAGAGCTGCCAGCAGAATACTAAACAATGTCAGCAGGTTAATGTACCAGCTTACTTTCCTTTGAAAGAATTACAGTGTAACTGAAAACTGTTTGACTGATCTATCAGGAAAATAAAAAACAGGAAACAATAATAGGAAAAATTACAGACAAGAACTATCTTCACATCTGGATATGTTTCTTCCCCTCCCCACACCTCTTCATTTTCTAATTAAATGTCTCTTGCCTGTTTCTGGCAACGTTGCTGTCTGAGCTTTCTAGGAACCACAGATTGTTTTGCTCATAATTGCATCTGAAAAGACAATGGTTTTATTTTATTTTATTTTTGTCATGACAGTAGACAATCCATACGCTGTAGTGATTTTGGCAGCACAGCTTTAATCCTCATAGCAAACTAAATGTTTTTATCAATTGACATACGTTATAGAAACTCTTCTTTCTGGAACTCATTTCATTCTCACCCCCAATCCATTTAGCAGTCATTTTAAAGTGGGGAAGTATTAGTACATTCAATATATACTCACATGTAAGCTGAGAAGACTACACCAATATGTCGATACAGTCAAAGGAGGAAAAGAGAAGAGCTGTCTGTCTCACCCAGAGAGTCTGCCCTTTAAACAAAGAGAGTCCCCGCTTCATATTCTGGAGCAGGGAGCCAATCCCAAATGCTATCCTTGAGTCAGTCACTATTTGGCAGTTTCTAACAAACATCTTGATACATTCTGGCACACTGCTCCTATGTCCAAGAGCCTCTCCCTAAGTTACCTGAAAGGCCACCACTTTTTCATTACTTTCGTCCTGAAGACTAGTCTGATGTACTGCCTGTGGGAAATCTGTTTGATTTATACTGGCAAGAATCTTAAACCACTACCTTGTGTAACTATGCCAAAACCAAGCTCCTCTTTGAAAGCTCCGTTATGTGTTTTACCCTTTCTATTAATCTTTATCCATTCATCTGTCTGTCTTGAAGAGATCAGCCTATTAGGTAGGGCTCACATCTCTTCTTCTGTTCAGAAGGAGCCTACCACACTATGGGTACTACCATCCTAAACAGTACTCTGTTTGGATACCAGGATGGATCTTTTTCAAATTCTCATCCAGGACAGGACTCTAGACAGGATTGTATATAACAACAGAAGCTGAGATTTACATACAGATTTAAGCATCATTGTTTTATGAAAAGGACTTAGGCAATTAAATATTTCTTGTAGGTCTAGGCTCAGTCCAAAGGTCTACTTAAGCTAATGGCAACTGCTTTTGAGGAAACCTCTTCATTATACAATTAGGGGAAAACATGGCTCCATGAAACGTTTCTTCCAAACTCAATAATCATAGAGTGCCTTGAAGTCTCCCTCTATGCTGTAGCCACTTAATACAAGATTTACCCACTTGGGTTAATGCTTAAAGAAAAAGTCTGTGGGTCATTTGCCACAAATATATGGTAGATTTGCTGTTCATCTGGGGTGAGAAAAGTAATTTAAAAGCATTTTATTTAGACAACTTAAAGATAATAAACTTTAGCTCACTTTATCAGAAACCAATAAAAGCGTGGCTTACACATGATTAAGAGATGTAAGCCCCACTAATTTCATGTTCCTTTAATCTGCTTTTATCAACTGTGTGGATTTTATAAAGATGCTCAAAAATTAAATGTTACCATTTAATAAAGGCACTGACTGATTTCTAAAGGGTTGGCTTGCTGCACTGCTGAAAACATTCTGTCATGGCAAATAATCCAGTGATTATTTAGTGATCCACAGCACTACATGATTTCCATTTTATTGTTATAAATATTACTGCATGAAAGTGATTCTGTTCTCTTAAAAGAGAGATGGCCTGATATTGATCTTCTTCAGCATAAGTGATAAAACTGGTATTTGCAGTTGCAAAGATGTTTTTGAATGTGATATCTGGTAATATGTATTGTATCTGCACAAATAAAAAACAGAATGAACAGGACCACCGAATTCAGTGAAACAAGAAATGGAAAGCCACACAATGCTTTTAAAACTATATGAACAATACTGTTTGCACCAGCCTTATAATAAATTTTTCAATGCTTATTTTCTTCATTTCTATGATCACTGTTATCATGAGTAATTGTATTAAGAGTGCCATTTCATCATATTAACTTACAACTGTAATAATTTTTATGAAGATTTTTAATACAAGAGTTGATATGCATATACAAATGTGCTGAGTTATTAAAAATGCAATGCTTAGCACAAATGAAAGCACACTGTTTACAGCCAGATGCTGGCACTAGCATAAGGTATAGTTATGAAATGCATTAATAGAGAACAACCTCGATGCCACAGAAGTTATTAACCACCTTCAGTTTGTTCACTGAAGAAAGAAAAGCAACAGAGTCTGGAAAAGTCTTTTATGAGCATCAACATCAGCATTAGGGCATGTGGAAGTACCAATTATATGCTGCTTATCTTTTACTGTATCCATCAGGAAAAAGGTGTAGCAATAGTAGAGGATCTCTATCCTGTCCTTGTGGAAGTTAGATTTCTTTCTCTCTCCTAACTGACAAAGCAGGGGAACTGCTTGCCCAAATGTGTTGATGAACCTTAATGATCTTGCTAAGTACTGTCTGGTCTCAAATTTTCCCTCCCTGGGCAATCATTGAGAAGGTCACTCTCAGCAATAGATAACTTCCTCCAATATCCTGGAACCTCTCACTTCTTCCTGAAGGTATCAAACAGAGACAGCAGTAATTGTACTTACTGATACCTTCTTTATAGCCATATATAACAGTCAGGGAATATCTACCTTGCTGTAACTGCATTTGTGTAGGCATACCTGACCCAGTTTTAAACTACCTCATTCAGGTACTGGTAGGTGTGACAGCATAGGGCTCAGGCTGAGGGCTTACTCTGCCTCTCAGGCAGGGTTTGCAGTGCAATATCACCACGTTGTGAAGACATGCATGTAATTCTCTTAGAACTACAGCCTGATTCCAGTGCAGTTACCTTGGAGCACTGTGTACCTCCTGTGGGACACAGCAGGAGTTTCGGCAACTCCATAGTTGTATCTCAATCTCACAGAAAGGCTTTAGAACAAATTTTGAAGGAAAGAATGATTTGAAAAAAAGAGAAGTAAATTGAAACTGGGATTAAACACAATGTGATCTAAAGATAGATCATGTCAGCCTAACCCAATATTTTTCCTTTATAACCGATTTTCTCTACAAAGGAAATGCAGTAGGTATAATCTATTTAGACTGTAAATGATAGTGCCAATTAGTAGAAATTATTAGCTAAAATGGGGAAAATGAGGATTAGCACAAGTGTAGGGTGGGAAACAACTGACTAGGGGTAAATGACAATAGGTCATACTGAAATGGGAAGTCTCAGGCTAGAGTGAGGTTACTAGTAAGGATAAGGTTTTGGGACTGATTTTAAATATTTCCTCTAATGATTCTCACACAAAAAAGTAGAAGTATGCCAATGAAGTTTGATAATGGAATAGTTGGGATGCATCATTAATAATGTGGAGGATCAGAATATCCAACAGCAAGAACTGGATCACTTGGAAAGCTGGAGAAATGGACACAGGATGAAATTTAACAGCAAGTACAAGGTGATGCACTTAGGAGCTAACCAAAAAAAACTTCTTTTTCCAACAGAGAGCTCATCCATTGGAAAACGACAGAGGAGAAAAAAGATCTGGGTATATTAGCTGATCATAGGATGACACAGCTATAAAAAGTGATTTGTGACTGCATCAGATGAATTATTTCCACTGGAGATAAAGAAGCATGGTGGCCTTTAAACAAGACCTATCACTATCTGATAGGACGTGTAAAATTTTGTTCAACCATGTTCAAGAAGGAAGAACTCAAAATGGAACAGATGCTGGAAAAGTTCACTAGAATAATAAGGGGAACACAGAACTTATCAGGAAACATTAGCATAAAACAGAGAATGGTCCAGCTGCTATGTGTAAATATGGTGGAGTATATATACACCAAAGAGGAAAAATGACCATTTAAGCTAAAGAAAAAAAAGGGGAATAAAGTGGCAATGAAGAAATATGATGGAAACTTAAAAAATGAATTTCCGGAACAGCTTCCCAATAGAAGTAGAAATAAAAATTCAGCCACTTTTAACACGGAGCTTAAGAGGTTATATGATGTGGTTACCTCAGCTCAGTGACCAGATGGTTCCTTTCAGTCCTATGTTTCTAACTGTACTCAGCCAGTTTTGTGAACAAGATGTCAAGGGTGAATCAGGTCAAATACTCCACTTAGCAGGGAGCCTTCACCTGGGAAATCATAGAAGGACTTTGTATTTTTCCTTTCCTTTTCAGTATTTTCTACATTAAACTAGTAGCCAAAAACACAGAATTTTTATAAGGCATTTTTGTTTTGTTTTCTGAGTCATTTTATCTAAACTCCAGTGCAACTAATATACTTGGGAGAAAAGCCCTATCAACTTTCAAAGATTTGCTAATGTTTATACATTCATGCACATAGGCATCATATATTGTATTCCTGTATAAAAACTACCCTGAATATTTTTAGCTCAGCATGCCTATAGAAATAATACTAATAAAACAAGAGAACATTCTTTTGAAGTATCTTTCATAAATAGAAAGCAAGAGTCTAACAAAAGCCCTACATGTCTCTGTTCAAAGAGCAATGTATAAGTTAGATCTAAGGAAGCATTACTTGATGGTTACGTTGGAACTATGTAAGGCCAACTTTCTCAATATTGTCTGGAGACCCATCGTTCCATAACCTCAGGCTACTACCAGCCCTGTGATGCCTGTAAAAAAATGGAGCTATGTGTGTATCGGTATTTGATGAACTGCATGAATAAATGTTTAATCCCAAAGCAGGATGTTCCTTGTGATCTTTGTTAAAAGTCTTCAAATCTTTTAAACTAGAGTCTGAACATCATAATCTCTGTCGCTCCTAAACTATAATGAGAAAAGACTTAAATTTTCTCATTCATAGAGCTGTCTGTCATATAAATATTTTCTTCTAATACATGTTATATGATTGTTCCTTCAGAATGGTAATATTTAGACATCTTCTTCTTCTTTGGGCATGTAATATGGCTGCTTTACATGTATTTTGTTAGTTGAACCAATTTTCCCTTTTGGTTTCATCTCTTTCTCCCCTTCATCTTTTCTGTATCCTTTCTCAGTCAGCTAGCTGAGCTATAATGATAAATGGGCATTTCAGCAGGGTTCGAATTACAGGGGCATGCGGGGGGGGGGCTAAGCCTCCTCCATAAGAGGTGAGAGCTCCCCCATAAGAGACGAGAGCCTCCCCGGCAGCTAGGTAGAAACTGCTGTTTAGCACGGGAGAAAAGCCGCCTCTCCCACTCATCACCGCTGGGCACTTTTTGAGGCAGCCAGCCAGAGCCCGTGCCCAGGCTGCCCTGCAACTTCTGTCCACCTTCGCCACTGCTGCTGCCTCCACAAGAGTCAAAGTGTAATTCAAACTGCATTTCAGTGGTCATTGACATGAGGGAAGTGCATTGGAGCAGACATGACTAACTGAGACTGCTGGAGCATGTAAATTGATGTGCTCGGGCAGCCTCATGTGTTATGTGTATCAGTGGCTAAGTGTGTCTCCGTGCTGTGAAAATGGGAGCAGTGCACTTTAAACTAAAACACCTTTGATATGCTTTAGTTCAAAGCACACTGCTACCATTTTCTCAGCACGATTGTACGCTGTGCGACACACAGGCACTTTTAATTTGTGGGGCTTGCTAATTCTAAAAGGGCCCGGTGCTGCGTTGGGACCACATGTAAAAATGCCCATACTTATGGGAAAATGGCTACATATCAAGTAATTATCACTGTGTATTACCTGAATATTTTCAAGTATAAGTATTCTTTCAAGATGCAGACAAGAGAGATTAAAAAACGTGCCTTTACAGCCTGCTCCACAAAGGGGAAGGCTTCTAATGACATCAGTGGCCATTAGACTGAGTCCTTAAATTAGTATTTCCATAAACTAGCTTTGAGCATTTTAAAAACAAACTGGATCGTCTTGGTTCGTACAACTTGGTTTAGGATTTTCACTCTTCATAGTTACAGGGGGGGCACTTGATGTAAAATGTGCTAATTATTATGAGGTTTGAGGGGAAGAGTGGAAGACAGAGGAACGTGGGTGAGAGGAGATAAGGAGGTCAAGCACAGTACTGGCAAAAACTGCTTCTGAGCCTAAGCATTCAAATGACCTGACTCAGAACCCCAAAATGATAAGATGGGCTGGAAAATCAAGGGATTCAAAATAATAAATCTGGGGTGTTCTTTATTTGCTTCTGCATGCAGGAAGGCAAAACAAGAGTATTGTTGTTATATGGATCCATCAGGCACTGGTGCTTTTAGAAAAGATTAAATACCACAAGACTTCTGAAAAAAATAAAACCAAACTGAACTGGCAACACTGAGCTTACTGCTACTTGTTTAATTGGGAACTAAACAAATTTTCCCAAAGCAACTAAGCCTCTGCAGCTTTACTAATATTTCCACAACTTGTGCTGGAACCATCAACCCCTTAAATCAACACCAAGCTTCCTACTGATTTTCCTAAGCCCTGGATTGGGCCCCTGAAGGATATGTATCTGATGCATGCATTTCTTTTTCTTATGGAGGTTTATTCACTACCTCAGCAGGGAGCTGAATCATGATTTCTGAGTAGTTAGATGTTCATGACGTAGACTCAGAAATAAGCCTGGAGTGAACCAGACCAATCAGACCAAACAAAAGACAGCAAAATCTGATTTGATTTTCATATAAATCAAAAGGACACAAGATCAAGCCTCAAGGGAAGCAAAAGCTGATGGATCCAGATGACCACAATTCATCATTTACCTTCTTGGTATCCTGGTAATAACGGTACCTTCCCAACTGATGCTTATTTGAGCACAAAAAAGCATTAAGTCACCTAATACAATTTTTTAAAATTAACCTGACATTTCTGACTAATTATTAGCTCATGTTTACCTAATTTAGGGCCTTAGACTGATGCCTTTAGACTGGTGTCTTTAACTACTTTTTTTCCAAATATATATCTAATTCATAATACATAATATGTATTTTCATAGATCGCCTAGCTGCCTTAATATTATACATATTATTGAAATGCTGATCTACTATTTATGCAGAGGCACAATACAATTCGTGCTGTGCTGCAACTGTGGTTTACTAAGAATTTTTCTCCCCTCTTCTGAACTTATGGTGTGATTTCTTCTTTTGATTTTCTTTTGTTTCTTTATGTCTGAATAAAGTGCATGTATTTTTCTAGTCAAATAATTCATAGTTTTTGACTTGTTAAAGACATTTTCTGTGTAGAACAAGATGCCTTCCAGTTTTAAATCTTTTGCTTGGCAAACTTTGCTTCTGCAGTTTGTTCTTTATGATGTAGATTATTGTACACGGATGCTAGAAGATTCCTGCTTAAGACTGAATTGCACTCATGCATGGTTTATAGTAGTCAGTCCTCTGCTCTTATGAAGACAGCACTGCTACTCCCACAGACCTCTATAGGCCTAACTGATTTATGGTGTGATATCTTGCGAACTACCAACGAAAGAGGAAACATGGTAGTGCATAGTGCAAGGAATATGGTAGTGTATTATGGAGAGGCAGGAGTTTGTTGATAGGTTATTATTTACTATTTTCATTACTTTAATACCTAGGAGACAGTCATGGATCAAGGACCGATTGTTCTAGATACTGGAAAAACACTGTGTTACTTCTGTTGATTTTATATTTAGGCTACAGTGAGTAAAACTGAAGCAACATAATGGTCAATCACATTAATTATTTCTATTAGATATAATAAAATGACCTTAATTCTGAGCAAACCAGGTTTTCCTCCATCAATACTCTTCCTTTCACTGGTAATCTGAATGGTATCACAAAAACCATGGACGTTTTTAAACATGTTAGCGCTGCAGTGCTGGGTGCTTTGAAAAGCACCTGGCGCTGTGACGCTTGCAGTTGTATAAGTGGCAAAATGCGCATCAGTGCTGAGAAAATGGTGGTGGCACGATTTTCATAGTTTCATAGTAGGTAGGGTCGGAAAGGACCTGAGCAGATCATCAAGTCCAACCCCCTGCCATGGCAGGAGAGAGTACTGGGGTCAAATGATCCCGGCAAGGTGTTCATCCAGCCTTCTCTTAAAGACCCCCAGGGTAGGAGCCAACACCACTTCGCTTGGAAGTTGGTTCCAGATCCTAGCCGCCCTGACAGTGAAGTAGCACCTCCTGATGTCTAGCCTGAATCTACCCTCTGCCAGGTTGTGACCGTTATTTCTAGTCACTCCTGGTAGTGCCCGGGGAAACAGGGACTCCCACAATGCCTGCTGGTCCCCTCTGACTGGTTTGTAAACGGCCACTAGATCCCCCCTCAGCCTTCTCTTGTGGAGGCTGAACAGGTTCAGGTCCCGTAGCCTCTCCTCGTAGGGCCTGCCCTGCTTCCCCCTGATCATGTGAGTAGCCCTCCTCTGGACCCTCTCCATGTTGTCCACATCCCTCTTGAAGTGCGGCACCCAGAACTGGATGCAGTACTCCAGCTGTGGCCTGACCAGTGCCGCATAGAGGGGGAGTATCACTTCCTTGGACCTGCCTGAGATGCATCTGCGGATGCATGACAAGGTATGTTTGGCCTTCCTGACTGCATCCCCACACTGCCGGCCCATGTTCATTTTGGCATCAATAATGACTCCAAGATCCTTTTCTGCCTCTGCGCTGATGAGAAGGGAGTTCCCTAGCCTATAGGTATGGTGCCAGTTCTTCCTCCCCAAATGCAGTACCTTGCACTTGTCAGTGTTGAAACCCATCCTATTCTCTTCCACCCACCCCTGTAACCTGTCTAGGTCTGATTGCAGCCTATTCCTCCCTTCTGTCATGCCCACATCTCCCCACATCTTAGTGTCATCAGCAAATTTGAACAGGGTGCTTTTTACCCCTTCGTCCAAGTCGCTGATGAAGATGTTGAACAGTGCGGGCCCAAGGACCGAGCCCTGCGGAACCCCACTGCCCACATCCCTCCAGGTTGAAAATTACCCATCCACCACCACTCTCTGGGTGCGGCCCTCCAGCCAGTTGGCAACCCATTTGACTGTGTAGGTGTCGACACCACAGTCCCCTAGATTTTTAATGAGAATGGGGTGAGTGACAGTGTAGAAGGCCTTCCTAAAGTCCAGAAAGACTATGTCCACCGTGACACCTGCGTCTAAGGATTTTGTGACCAGGTCATAGAAGGCCACAAGGTTGGTCTGACAGGACCTGTCTCTAATGAACCTGTGTTGGTTGCCCGTAAGCATAATCTCCCCTGCTGGCCCCTCATGGACATGTGCCAGGATAACTCTCTCAGAAAGCTTACCAAGGATTGAGGTAACTTGAACTAAAACATCTTGTAGGTATGTTAGTTCAACAGCACACCACCGCCATTTTCTGTATGCTGACGTGCATTTTGCCACTCATACAACTGCAGGTGGCACAGCACAGTTTGCCTCAGCTCACATGCAGATCTCTGGCAGGGATTTCCAGTGTGTCGGGGGAAAAAAGTATGTGTGTAAATGCCCTATGTTGAGGGGATGTGTGTATTACATGTGGCTCGACAGATGGTTCTCAAGGCAAGATTGAAACTTTCCTTATATTATTATAATAAAGAACTAGATTGCATTAAGTTCCCTCCCTCTTGTGTCTTACCCAGAATACGATGATGTACTTTGAGAGAACAGGCTTTGAGTGGGGCCAAATCTTTCTTAGTGCATGTAGGTGGGACATTGGTGAAGAAGGACAAGGCCTTTGCTTTATTCAATCCTGTCTAAAATAAGTAACTTTTAAAGAAAGTTCTCATT